ACTCCGAATCTCCCTCCCGCCTGCTCCGATTCCCGCAGATCGCCCGACGTCCTCACCCTCCTCCAACTGATCTCTGCTCGCTCCACTGGTACGTAAAACGATTACACCCTCACTTCCTTCTCACACATATATATATCTATACATTTATACATATACTTATATATATATATATATATATATCACAAATCGATCACAGATCACGTGTTTCCAAACCGTACCAAGCTTCGCCGAATTCATGCTTTTTGTAGTCTTAATTTTTTTTTTCAATAGAATTATATTTCTGTTTGATAGCTGGTAAGAACTCTTCTGCATCTGTGCAATGAGAAGAGGAAACCAAGAGATTTCGAATTTTATATATATTTGTGTGTATGTATTTGTGGTGTATTTGGAATTGTTAATGGTGTAATTTCAACTTAGCTAAGTCTTACAGTCGTCTCTGGTTAACTTTGATTTTGCATGTTTATGATTTTGAGTTCCGGCATGCCGATTCTGTGAGATTTATTGAAGTTTCCTATCCTTTTTAACATTGGTTTCAATTTCCCTTCATATGTTCATTCACCTACTCTTGATTTTATTTCGATTTTTGTTGTATGATTATGTTTCTATAACGAGGTATATCGATAAATGTTTCGTTTGATTCGTAGGCAGAGGCACTTTTCGCTATGCAATATTTCTGGTGGATCTGTATTTCATAATACGTTTAGGATATTGAATTTTGTAGGTTTTCACTTTTTTTATTATTTCCTATCTTTTATGGTAGATTTTTCTTCAGATTTCATGCTATTCTTCGTTGTTTAATCTATGGATCTTTAGGTGGTTGTTTATGTGGTGAAATAATTAAGGTATTCGAATTTCTTTTGTTAGCTGGAAGTTCTAATTCTTTTTTGCGTTACTAAGTTCGGTACAAGAACACATGTAATATAATTGTGGCTTCTTTGATAATATGGTCAAGAATTATTCTGTTCTGTAAACAATGATGTCCATTGATGTTGTTACTTATGTTTCTTGATAACTGCACATTGTCGGACTTATTAGACACGTCAACTTGTTTTGAAATAAATCTATTTAGCTGTAATGTGGATGAAATAGGATGCTTTTGTGCCCTGAGCTTGTTTTCAATTGCTGCATCCACTTTAGATGCGGCATATTTGTGCCTCAACCCAGTTCAACTGAATGCCACTTAGTCATTAGATGTTTACCTTGTTTTTATTTGTCCTATATTTTGTACAGAGACACGCGGTGCTCTGGTGGATTTGAAGTTTGTGTGTGTATAGATGTCAATTGCTAAACCTACGACCTCAAACTCTCTGTTTGCTATGAAATCAAAGGAGGAAAATGATTCCCTTGACACTATCATCAAACAAGCTGCAAAAGAGCCATCTATTTCTTTCTCAAGGGCTGGGGATAGCCCAGTCCCGTGGATTCAGCTACTTCATGCCTTAGACCAACAAGGTACTAGAAACTATTTCGTATAATCACAACTTTATTTGATTATAGAAGTAGTGCACCATTAGATTGAGATTTGTGCCATACCTAATGGGGAGTATCCTGCATTCGGTTTGCCTTTCTCAATCCACTGCTAAGGCCAATGGCTGTTTTAATATACATATTATGCCATAAGAAGGTAATTTGTTTCTAAGTGTTTGATGATACACGTTACTCTGGCAGAACTTCCAGGTTGGCCCCTGCACTCTCCTATTAAAGTGCAGATGCAAAAGTGTGACAAGTGCCCTCGAGAGTTTTGCTCATCCATCAACTACAGAAGACACATACGTGTGCATCACCGATTGAAAAAGCTTGATAAGGTATCCCTTCTATTTTTAACTGTTGTAAATTTGTCTATATTGTTTTTCTGTGAGTTGCGATCTTTTGCCGCCCATTGTGTTCATAATGCTTATTTTGTTTACATCTTGTAGGATTCTTCTAAAAATAGGGAGCTTCTAGGTGAATTTTGGGATAAGGTATTTATTCTTTGAATACAGTAATGCTACCTTCTTCTTAGTGTATGTTCTCACCCTTCCATGATTTGGTCTTTGTCCAGCTCTCGCCAGAAGAGGCAACAGAAGCTATATCATTCAAGAATGTGACTTTAGAGGTATTTTCTGTTACTTGCCTTAGTTTTTATGTCATGCATCATAAGTTATAATCATGTTCCGTGGTATGGTATTAAGTGACATTTTTTTCCCTCGTGCTTAGATTCATCAAACATAAACTAGGGTAGGATAGTAAATGTGTTTTTGTCCTCACAGATCGTAGTTTTGAATTACCATGATTTTTTCTTCGCCCCTTCCTCCAGTTAATTTCTAGTGGGCTTCATTTGTTTCAAAGTCACTATATTATTTGTGCTGGTGTCATCTTTATTTAGCTTCTACATTTTATTTCTTAAATTGTTAATTAAGTGCAATCATGTGAAAGAAACAGTGTTTAAGGGAGAGTTCCTAATTTAATATATTTTCTAGGAAGTTCCAGGGTCTTCAATTATAAAGGCATTGACAACACTTATACGGAAACCAGGATTTTCTCCTTTCCCCCACATTTATTTGAAGGCCGGTTCAGCCCTTCTGGTAAGACATTATTCTTTTTCTTGTGTATGAGTATTTATTGTAATGAACTGCCACATTGCCTGTTATATGGATGTGATATTGTGATTCTTTTCCTTTTATCCAGGATATTTTTCAAGCTAGACCTTCCAGGTTTCCCATATCTTCCCAGGAGTTATTTTCTATCCTCGATGATGCAAGTGAAAAGACATTTCTGTCTGGGACAGCCATATCAATGCAAAGATATATTTTTGATGGGGAGGCTGGGAAAATTGGCCTTGAATCAAAAAACTTAGTTGCTTGTACAAGCTTCCTGGTGGAACAGAAATTGGTAACTTTCTTGCTTCCTTTCCATTTTTAAATATAGTTGATTTTACTATGTTTATTGCGTTTCAGCCTGTGGTGATTTTTTGCTCAGTTGAAAGCCTGGCATGCTGACAAGGATACGGAAGCTTTGAGGTTACAGAAGTTGCTAGTGGAGGAAGAAGAAGCTGCTCAAAGAAGGTACAAACAAGCATTTCTATTTGATTTTCGGCACAATTCTGTTTTTTAATTGTGTTGGTGGGAAGATTTTCAGTGCCTTTACCTTTTTCTTAAAAAAGTCACCTCTTTAAACTCGGCACTATATAGAGTATAGGCCAGCATGACTGATTAAGCTGTTCCCTATTGTTTTTTATCAGTTGCATAATCTGTTTGGTCTTATTTTCTGAATAACTGTAGGCAAACAGAGCTGTTGGAAAGGAAAAGGCAGAAGAAGCTTAGGCAGAAAGAACTGAAGGAAAAGGATCAGAGACATGGGGAGAAGGTCGATGTTACGGAGAACATTGATGAAACTCTGGAGGCTGTGCCACTCGTAGAAACATCTAGTCCTTCAGCAACATTTGATTCTGACACGGCCAGTTCGGATATGCTGGATCATGCCTGCTTATCTCTTGAATCATTCCAACTCTCAAACATGGATGTAAGTGCGGATCCCGAATCTCAGACTGGAGTTAACTTTGGACATGTTGATTCGGTGAGTGGACCAAATGTTGAACGGCCGGTGGTGCAAGGAAATGGTAGTCGGCGTGCAGTTGCTCAATGGCAGTTGTCTCCAAAATCGCAGCGGGGTGTGCCCAATGGATTTCATGGAGGTCATAGTTCTCAAACATTGAAGCATTCATCCACAAAACACCATGGTAACCACAGGGATGCAAGGGCTGCTTCCAGTGGCAATAGAGTATGGAGTCGAAAGCCTAAACCAGAATATGATGGGAGGAGTTTGAAAGCTGGAGAACAGAAAGAAGCATCTGAACCAGATCAAATCAAGAACCGTGAGGTTTTGATTGGTTCTATACCAGTCAATCTTGGAAATTGTTGCCAGGAAAGTAATAATCAGGCTGGTGTTCACGATGATTGTCTTTCAGAGAAGGGTCAAATGCCAAAGGACAATTCTCAGGATAAAACCAATAAACCTGATCTGGTACAGAGTGGCACAAACCGGTCAACAGTGAAGCTTTGGAGGCCAGTGAGCCGGAATGGAACAAAAGGTCCTATGCCAATTCAGAACGGCAGCAAAGAATCTGACATAAATGTGGTAGCTGAAAAGGGCAACAGCCAAAACCCTTACAGTGAAAATTGTGAAGGATCGTGTGTTGTGGATGGCCATAATGTTGGAAACGGGAATGACTCAACTCACCCCGATGAAACTGGAAGGCTGGGCTTCTCTAGCCATGCGGCAAAAGATTTTCTTGCACAGAGTGAGTTCAGCTCCATTATTATATCTTGTTCTATTTTATCTTTTGTACAAGCAGCTCCCCATGGAAGTTAATTAAAAATACAATACAATAAATACACGTCTTGTTTGTGCAGGATGGAAGGATGCTATTGCCGCAGATCATGTGGAATTGGTTCTATTCCAAGACTCTGAACCTCCCAGATGCCCGGAAAATCAAAATGACCGAGAAGTAGCAGCGACTCATCCATCGAGGTTTAAACGCAGCATTCTTGGCAATGCAGAAAACCGGCTTGTAAATGGAGAGGCATTTGATTTGCCAACTGCTGGAGCTGCTAAAGTCAGGCGCAGGACGAAGCATGATAAGGGTGTGAAGATCAAGTACATTCCGAAACCTAGTGCAGTTGCCTAGTAATCGAGGGTAAAGAGATGGTTTTTCTTTTCTTTTTTCGGGGTTATACAACGTGCACAGTTTAGCCAGTGATTATATTCGTAGCAGCAGAGGGGTCCAGTTTTTACCAGCGGTCTTCTGTCGGAAAATCGAAGAACAAGTTTTGGAAGATAAGTTTTTTTTTTTTTTTTTTTTTTTTTACTTTTGTTATAGTTCCGTCCTTTTTTCTTTGTCATAGCAGATTGATTAGTGAGATTTTTCTTCCCTTTATAAAAAATTTGTGTAATAAATTTGGTTTTGTGGTTTGAGCCGTCCTTTCCTATTTTCGTTGTCATGCGTTTTTCGTACCGTCTCGATGGCGTCGTGGATGAGACCGACGGACCAAACGAGTCGGTTTCTGGACAGGCATTTTGTTTATGAAGGTGCATTTGTGATGTCATTTCGGGTCACAGCATTTGAAGTTGAAATTGAGAAAGGTGTATTATACAAGAATTTTGATCAAATTGGAATATATTTTCGCTTATGTTTTTTTTATTTTTATCAAATTCGATTGTGTAGACTTCCCAATCGAATGTATTCCTCTATTAATGGGCTAGCACATGAGTTATCTGTACTGACTATTTATTGCACGACTCGTTAACTCATATGAAACGAAACGAAAATTACAAGTTTCGGATTAATTTGTTCACTCATTGGATCGTTATCAGTCATTCATTAAGAATTTGTTAATGAGTTGTGTCGTTATCAGATTACATCAAACATGATGATTTGTTGCATCCACACGTTAAAATGATATGGTCCATTAACGAATCGCGTCACATGTTACAAATCTATTAAGATAACGGATTTGATATAACATGACTCATCAAAATGATACAATTCATTAACGAATCAGGTCGCTATCAAGTTACATGTTAAGAATTTGTTAAGATAATGAGTTTAACATAATATGATTCGTTAAGATAACGGATATAACAACTCTACGGTCTCTTCTTACACACATTTATATGTAACAAGTCCAATCTAAAAATTCGATAACAATCCAAGAAGCAAGCGGTTTGTCTACTTATCAGTTATTATTACACGTATACAAATCAAATCCCTACTCAACTGCCACGTGTCCATTTTCGTCTCAGCTTTCTATGCCCAAATCCACCATCCTCTCTCTCCCCTACTTAACTTCGATCGAGCTCTTAGTTTGCTTCCGGTAAATTCCACGTAACCAAGAGAAAACGGCTGATCCCACAGACCTCAACCACCCAGAAGAACGAGAACATGTATACAAGCAACAAAACGACGACGTCCCCGCAAGCTCCCTGAAGTACCTCAACCCCAAAAGGGGCCAAACCATGGAGACCGCCAGCAGGGCGAACCGCATCTCCTTTTGGCAGCTCAACGCCCTCATCGTCATGGTGGTCCTCGCCGCCAGAGGCTTGGTCAGCCCTCTAGACCTTGCCTTTCCCGCCTCAATCCGACTACCCTTCAAAAGACCCGCCGGTCTTCAACGCCGAGGGCATAATGGTCAAAACCGGCCGGGCTTTCGGCGCCGTGTTGGGCCTCGCCCTGCCGATAGCGTATATATTTCAAGGGTTTTTGGAAGGAGACCAAGAAGGCATCAAAGCGGCTGTCCCGCACGTGTTTTTACTCACTAGTCAAGCTTTTATGGACTGAGTGGCGTTTTCCGATAGGTTTTCGACGCCGATTAGGGTTTTGGCGCCGGTTTTCTTTAACGCAAAGAGGATTTTCACGCTTATGGATTGGGTTAGGAACGAATTCTCCAAAGTGTGTGTTGGTGGTGGTTGTGACGCAGCTGCAGAAAGAAGAGTGCTTCTTGGGAGAGGACTTGCTGTTGCTAACTTGGTGTTTTGGAGTTTAGATCTTTTTTGTTTTATGTTACCTATTTATCTTCCTAGAGCTTTCAAGAAATATTACTCATCTGCGAAAACAGATTGAGTAGACACTGTTAAAATAATTTTCGGATTTTAGCTTTCATTTTGCGTATTGTTTTCTTGTATATGTATTCTGTTGAATTTCACGTCGTTCGTACTAAAAGATATTTAATAGTTTTAATATTAGATCATCTCTAAAGGAAATCTCAAATTATAAGAGTCAAATTACAATTGATGGCTGATGTGACAATCTGAAGTCTTATGTCAAATTTTGTACTTCTTCAACCGAATTGTTAAATATTATTTTATTATTTAAATAGAGTTTTAAATGATTGTAATTATTAAAAAAAAATGTTGAAACAAAATTTTTATTGGTTGAAATGTTAGTAGAATAAGGAACACATTATTAAAATAAATTTGACATCAAATTACTAAGCCTTCAAATTCAGTCAGTAAATAACATTTCGGTTGGTGATACTTTTGGTATCAAATATGTACTATGGTATTCCTAGGATTTTGACATCTCATTTGGAGATGCTCTTATAACCCCTTTTTAACTAACATTGGGCTTTTTTGTGATAAATTTCCGTCAGATCTTTTATGATAAAATCTCACACCTGATAGATTATGCAGGTAGTAATTACAAACTTAAGAACAATATCGATATTATTAGAAGTGTAGAAGTGAACTTTGCCTCGTCTCTCTAATAATTGTACGTATTCCACCATCCATCTTAAACTCTTATATATATATATATATATATATATATATATATATATATATATATCTCATATATCCAAACCAACTATTTCGCTTCCATCTCCGACGAGAAAATGAAAATAATAAGGCAATTTGTTGAAGCAACAAGCACGCAATTTAAGCCTTCGACCGAGTTTGATCAACTTCCATTTATGGGATGATACATCATGTGTTATATTTAATTGAATAAAAAAAATTTGGTGTGATTACATGTAGTATTTCGGCACGTGTTTTGGACACATTTAGGGTGACACCCGAGGTCCCTCAAACTAAAAGTGCCATCTCATTTCCGAGCTATGGTTTGAACTAAAATCATTTATTCATCAAATCATATGCTTTTAACAGAAAGAAAGGAGAAAAAAAGAGTACATGCACTTCTTGATTAGATGAAAACTTTACGGATCAAATTCTACAAAGATATATAAAGCTGTGATAAGAATCCTGGGGAAATCATCTCATAGCATGAAAAGTGCATAGAACCTCAAGAATTTTTCTTAATATTCGATATGACGAGGGATTTGACACGAAAATAAACAACTTTCACTTTTTTTAAACTAATTGATTTGATACGAAAATAAATAACTTTTACTTCTTAAATTAATTAATTCATTAAGATAAAATATTTGACACGAACACGACAAGTTGATTAAGGAGATGGATATTTGAATTGAATTTATTGTATGCGATACATTCAATATATTCAATGTAAATGTGCCTGTTCTAACCTGCGCCTTCCCAATAGATTTGGTTTATAGTGAATGAAGTGTAAGTTTGGTAGTTGAGAGACATGAGTATGTACTAAAACATAGTTAGGCAAGTTCGAATTAAGGCTAAGATGTTTGTTGGGTTGAACATATATGTGAAGCTAAAGTTGTTAGTATACCAATCTTGGGCAACTACCACTACATGCCTAGTAAGAAAAATTGAAAGTTTTGTTAACCAATGACGAGGAAGGTTTAGTATGTGTTCAACTCAATAGCTAATTCAAAAATGCTACTTTAATGGGCTCATCAGCACTTGATCCTAAGATGTGGATCATTCAAGGCAGATTAGCGTAACGTACTTCTTCTATTTAAACTGGGGTTTGAAACTAAACTTCTACTCAGGAAGATAGGAGGCTTAGGTGAGATGCACTGTAGATCCACATTCTATTCGCTCATGATGATCATTTTTTTCATATCAAATTTGTACCATCTCCAAACAAGTTTAATTATTAATAAGTCGAAGTCAAAAGACTAATAGAGATGACATATACATTGGCGGCCCTACTATATTACAGAGAGAGAGTACAAAAATGGTATGAAAAATATGATGAATGTAATGTCATTCATTTGAATTACTCTCGGAGTTTGGATATTAACTTAAGGGTAATGTTAGGGAGATTAAATTTGTAAACTAAATGATGTGTCACTAATATGAATGAGCACTTTTATCAACACTTAAGTAATAAATCAATCATCAACTTTTATGTCTTTTAGTTTTCAAAATTTTGTATATAAAGCATTACCCTTAACTTAAATAAAATATCACATATTAAAAAAATAAAGATTTAAATGCTGCGAGTTGACGTGTGTACACGCATGTGCTGATATTGTAGACTGTAAGATAAAACACTGGTTGTGCCCCCCAACCGAATGCCATGCGGTTGCGGTCTCCAAGTGACAAACTCCTCAATTTCGCATATAAACTAAGCTTAAAACTTAAAAGATAAGAACAATGGCTCAGAAAAAGAAATATAGACAACCATACAAGTTGCAAATAACCTTAAAAGAAAACGCTCACAACTTTCTTCTTCCTTGATCTTTCTTTTTTATCAAGGTAAAATCTAAGTCCTAAACGATAACCAAGAGCAACTTTTCTCACAGAGCAGCAAAAATGTCAGGTGGGGTTGGTCCAACTTACAACGACATCACTCTCTCAAGAGAGCAAGAACAAGAACAGCTACAACATGAACTCGTCAAACAAAGCAAAACCGATCCAACTTCCTCGAAACTCAAAAGATTCGGTGTCCTCCCCTTCTGGCAGATCATCAACGCCTCGCCATCATCATCGTCCTCTCCTCCAGCGGCATGGTCAGCCCCGGGGACATGGCTTTCGTTCTCTTCTCCTTCCTCTACATCTTCTTCCTCTCAAAGTTTGTGTTCCCCATCCCCCCTTCTTCTCAAGAGCCCCAATTCTTCAACCCCCGCAACAAGCTCCTTCGCCTCTACATTGTCCTCAGCGTCCTCATCGGCCTTGTCCTCCCCATAGCCTACATCTTCGAGGGCGTTCTCGAGAACGACCAGCTAGGGATCAAAGCAGCTACACCACCTGTTTTTCTCTTTGCGTGTCAACTTTTCATGGACGGAGTGGTTTTTGGTGACAGATTTTCCACTCCGATACGCATTTTCGTGCCGGTTTTGTACAACTCCAAGAGGATTTTTACCCTAGTGGATTGGCTTAGAAGTGAGTTCTCGAAACAAGATGAAGAAGTGTACGGTGGCTCTGCGAGGAGGCTGTACGTTGGGAGAGTGCTTGCAGTTGTTAACTTGGCGTTTTGGTCGTTTAATCTTTTCGGGTGCTTGTTGCCTGTTTATCTTCCTAAGGCTTTCAAGAAACATTACTCGGCTTACAGTGAAGTCAAAGATTGAAGACGTTTCAAGTGCCTTTGTATGAAGATATCATGAAGCTTTGTAAGATGTTAACTCATTAAATTTTCTAGTAGCTGGTTTCAGTACTTTCCTTCTTTTACAGTGCCGAAAACATATCATTTTTGCTTGGTTTTTTCTGAGAAGGGAAATGCTAATAAGGAGAATCTCACAAGGTGAAATTCTCCACAGACTCTTTATCATTTTACTACTTTACAGCACATTTTAACATTATAAATATTGTGCAAAAAATATAAGATGAGATAGGTAGTTCGTGAAGAGTTTGTGGGTCTCTTTTGCATTTCTCTTCATAAAAACTTCGATAATTTTAATTAAATTAGTATCCGGTCCCTAGTTTTTACTGTTCATTGACTAACACCTTATTAGTTCTTAAATTTTGATTCAAGTTCCTAGCATTAATGTGATAATGAATTTACATGTTTATTATATAATATTTTTAATATAAAAATTAGTAATTAATTTAAGGTTTAATACTCACACCTCTATTAAACTTCTAATTAATTTTCAATTCAAACATTTCCAAAATAATAAAAAATTAAATTAAATTAAGTTTGTACCTATTAGTTTTTTTTATATATAAAAAGATTCTCAATTTTTTAATCTTAAATGTACCCATTCATATAATTTTTCAATTTTTTTAATCTTAAATGTACCCTGTGAACGCGGAAAATTCCTGAAACGAAAGAGACAAGAACAACGCGCACAAACAAATATTAAGTGTTTGATGATTTTGGGGTTACAATCTCTCTCTATTTTGATCCTCTGATTCGATCTCCGTAAGGTGTGTATTTGTGGATTTGTGATTGATCCAAAGGGCCGTTGGGCTTGATCTAAGGATGAACGTTCTTCAAGGGCCGTGGACTTGATCTTGAAGGTGGATTTGAGCGGATCTTCAAAGGGGCTTTTGGGCTTGATCTTTGAAGAACAGTGACGAACGGAGGACTTGAAGATGATGAACGGATCTCCAAGGGTTTTTGGGCTTGATCTTGAAGATGATGAAGGATCTTCAAAGGGCCTTTTGGGCTTGATCTTGAAAGGTGGATTTGAGCGGATCTCAAGGGGCTTTTGGGGCTTGATTTATGAAGAACAGTGACGAACGGATCTCAAAGGGCTTTGGGCTGATCTTGAAGAACAGTGATGAACGGATCTCCAAGGGCTTTTGGGCTTGATCTTGAGAACGAACGTTGGATGCGTTGGATTTGTCGACGCTGTTGAGCTTTGATCCAAAGGGCATGTGATTGTTTGATGAACAAGATTGGCCGTGAGGCTTGATCTTGGATGACTGGATGAATGTCAAAGGGCCGTGGGGCTTGATCTTTGTTGTGGAAAGATGACCAAGGGCCGTCGGGGCTTGATCTTGGAAGAACGATGAACGAAGATGAAGAACGAAGAACACTTCAAGGGCCGTCGGGGCTTGATCTTGAATTGGTGGGGGCTTTGATTTCGTCTGGTCTTGATCCGAAGGGCCGTCGAGGCCCGGCTTGATCTTGGAAAGAACGATTTTCCGAAGAACATAAGAGAGTCTTCAAGAAAACGAACGCGGAACGAAAATTTTCATTTAAAGAGGCTTGCTTTCTGTAAAGCAAAGATTGTCACTTTCTTCATCGACAAGGGGCCTGCTTGGATTTCTTTCTAAAAGGGCGCTTTCGATTTTAATTGGCTTGCGAGACAGTTTGGTTTGCTTGATGTTAAATCCAGTTTTCTTGATCTTGGCAAAGGGCCAGCTTGCAACATAAGAAGTAAGGTACATGTGCAGGTGCCTTGCGTCGGGTTGGTTTTTCTTCAGGGTTTACTGAAATAGATCGGCCGTTCTACATTGTGAATTTTTCAAGGGCCCAAGATCTGACGATGATTTCTCAGGGAGATCACGCGCTCCTTCAGAGAGAATTGGAAAGAATTGGAAGACACTTTTTTGATTCGTCACTATTTGAAACGTGTAACTTACGTTCTTTCAAACATGCTTCGCCAAAGCTTCGAGATGCTTCCACAGAGAGCTTCAAGGTCTGATCTCGTTATCCAAATGAGATGACTTGGCAATCTTTCCTCTTGATTCCTTGAGGCTTGATCTTGAACTGGCAAGCATGAATGAAGGCCACCTTGTTGCCCGTTCATTTTTCTTCAGCTTAGCCGGAGTTTGAGATTTTTGCTGAACCAAGCTAGACTAAATTCTTGTTCAACTTGGTTTCCATTGGAATGCTTGAAGTTCGATTTTCTCCGAATGCACCAAGGTTTGACTCACGGATGTTGATAGCTTGGATTTTTTGTGGACTTTATTTTAGGGCTTCCAATTTCCAAGATTTTTTCGTTGATCGCCAAGCGGAACTGGTGGCGTGTGAATTTTAATACCATGAGCTGTTCCATCTGTGAGTTTTCTGCACGGTGTTGGCAAGTTTCCTATTTGAAATTTTCCAACTGGCATTTCTTGGTTTAGCGTTGAACGCGCTACGTGGTAAAAATTTTCAAAAGGCACGTCATGGCGGTTGACACTTTGAGACATCGGTGGCTTTGTCGAAATTTCGATGTAGGGAGTGCCAGGAGGTGCGTTTTGAAGTCCTTTCCCTTACTGTAGATGAATCGTCGATCCAAGGGCCGTGAGGAGGCTTTGATCTTGAATTGGGCTGGAGATTTCTTCAAGGGCCGTTGAGTTGCTTGATTTTTGATTTTTTCTTTTTCAATTGAGGCATTTCTTGATTTTAAGGATTTTGAGGCTTTTCTTGTTCGTTTTAGACTTCTTTTCTGAGGGCCGTTTGAGGCTTTTTCTTGATTTTTTGATTTTTTTTTCAAGAGGCTTTGGCTTGTTTGAACTTTTTGTTTGAAAACTTTGATCTTGAAGGCTTGAAAATTTGGACTTTGGTTCTTTTAGTTCGGCGTGGATGATCTTGGACAGTTTTGGTGCGATTTTTGTTGTGCTTTTCTGTTCGCTTTGATCTTGAACTGGGTTTGTTTATGGATTCTTTATTGTTGATTTTTTCCACAGCTTATTCTTTTGAACTAGGTTTTGATTCTAGGGTGGTAGACACATTCTTTATTGTTTTTTTGAGCTTCGAACTTGTAGATTTATTCCTCAAAATTGTGGTCGTCTCACCCAGCTTTTGACTTCTTGAAGGCTGACTCTGAACACACACTGCAAGCAGGCACGAGGTGAAGTGACGACTTGTTGCTTGCTTTGTTCAATCTTGTCTAATTCACACCTGAGTAGTTTGGTCAACGGTATGATCTTCGAGATTGATGGGCTCCTCTTCCAATTGGTGACTTGGTCTTTAAGGATTTGATTCAAGGGTGGTGAATCGGCAGTGCAGCCCACAACGCCTGAGTAAGTCGACCAAGAATTGAGGTCAAAACGAGTTCACCGTCCTCTCAGCAGCATGCGGCATCTTCTCGAGTTCTTCATCTCAGACTCTTTCTGCTGAGTCTTTTTGCTGCTGCTTCTTGATCTTGCATTGTTTGGCTGCATTAGGCAGATTGCAGCTTCTTCGATGTTCCTTGCTTGAGTTTCGTTCAGTTCGGACTCCTCTCTGCTGAGTGATCGTGCAGACCGCATTCTTCTCTGCTTGTTCCTTCTGCACCTTGTCTCCACATGCTGCAAGGTATCATTTTCACTTGCCTTATCTGTCCTCCAAGCATAGCAGCTTCTTTGTGAAAGCAGAGTCTTTAAAAGCGTCGCAAAGCAGTGAAGGCGAGTTGTGACTCCAGGAGGCAGTGCTAGGTAGGCATCAGGGAAGGGTTCCAAGCAGTCGGTTCCTTACCTCGAGTTTGAGTGGAGTTCCGGCATATTGTTTTCTTTATCCTTGTCCTTGTAGTTGTAGGTAGGACAAGGACAGAAGAAAGGACAGGGAGAGTGCATGATATGAGATACTCTTGCTTTCTACCCTGGTGATATGAGATACTTTTGCTTTGGAGTCATTGGCTTGCAGAGGTGCTCCAAGGAATAAAGGAACGCTGAATGACTGAATGACTCGAAGGTTTCGTTGGGAGAACATTTTTTTGGAGATGAAAGAGGCTCTGTGTGTTTGCCTTGCTATGGAAGGTGAAGGTGAGACAGTTAATAGGAGGTCCCTTAATACAACTAGGAGATAGAGTAGTAACTTGTAATACCTTACTTACCTTCACCTCGTTCGCAAATCTCGACAAATGTTGCGTGATTGAACGTGTTTTTGACACCGTGTGGAATGATTCTCCTGTTGCGGCTCTTCGACACTGGCAACCTGATTTGCGATGAACGTTTCGACATTGGTGATATGATGAGCGTTGATGACGCGGCCGAAAAAGACTGGCACCTCTTCGATAACTGGGATCGGCGCTTCGACAAATTACCCGTGATTTCCGCAAAGCTGAGTTTGCGTGTGAAGGGTGCTGACGTGGGCTGAAAAAAGACTGGCGCCTCTTCGATATCTGGGATCGGCGCTTCGACAAATTGCCCGTGATTTTTGCAAAGCTGAGTTTGCGTGTGACGGGTGCCGACGCGTCTGGAAAAGCAAGATGCTTCTCCGATTTCTGAGCTTGCCTCTTCGATTTTTGAATGGCCTATTCGAATTCTGAGCTCGCCTCTTCGATCTCTGAAATCCCGTCGAGTGCTGATTTTTTATAGAGGCATGCAGTTCGTTTCGAAGCACACTTGAATTTTCGCTTGTGAAAACTCCCCTCTTGTACTTCTAAGATCTTGATTTGTCCGATCTCTTCTTCCTTCAACACTTTGAAAATGTCTGGACCCTCCGACCGTCGTTTTGACTTGAATCTTGGTGAAGAGGCAATCCCGCCTTCTCCAGACAACATATGGCGCCCAACCTTCATATCCCCCACTGGTCCTCTTACCGTTGGGGATTCGGTGATGAAGAATGATATGACCGCTGCGGTGGTGGCCCGGAACCTTGTCACTCCCAAAGATAACAGACTACTTTCCAGGCGGTCTGATGAGTTGGCTGTTAAGGAGTCTCTGGCCCTGTGCAGTGTGCGGGTTCTTGTGTCCAACATGGCCCAACGCCTATTTGCTCGAACCCGTCAAGTTGAAATCGTTGGCGGCTGAAAGTGATGAGTCTCAAACAGGAGATTAGGGGGCTCAAGCATGAGAATAAACAGCTGCACAAGCTTGCACACAACTATGCCACCAACATGAAAAGGAAAATTGACCAGATGCAGGAATCTGATGGTCAGATTTTACTTGATCATCGGAGGTTTGTGGGTTTGTTCCAGCAGCATTTGCCTTCGTCTTCTGGGGCTCTGCCGACTGCTGAGGCTTCAAATAGTCAACCTCCGGCGCCTCCTCTTCCTGGAGCTCCGCCGAGTTGTGAGGCAGCACCTGATCGTCCTTGAAGATCCCTTCTTGTAAATTTGATTTTTTTTTTTTTTTTTTTTTTTAAGTGTGTATAATGCGAATTTATGTAAAATTTCCAGAAAAATAAATAAAATGGACTTTTATTTAATGCTTATTTATTTATTTATTATATTTATTATTATTATTTATTTATTTTTTTTTATTTTTTTTATTTATTTATTTTCTTTAATCATGATGCCAGCTGCACCTCTCTTTTTTCACGTGGTGCCATCACCACTTTGTTCCATCATTCCTTTTTTTTTTATATGGTGCCAGACGCCGCACCATGCTTTTTTTTTTTTTTTTTTTTTTTTTTTTTTTTTTTAATCATGGTGCAGTGGTCCACCATATATTTTTTATTATTATTTTTTTTGTATAAATTTGGATGACGGGATGGGGAATTTGCAGGGAGCGAAGCAAAGAGGCCGAGAAGATGGTGCTTCGAGACCGGCTAGTCGTTTGACGGCGGTCTTTGAAGTTGTTTGGCAGCTGCGAGGCAAGAGACGGAGGAGGAGGGGCTGTACGTGTTGTTGAAGCTGATGGGCAGAAGGAGAAGGTGAGCACAACCACCGAGCACAGCCAACAGACTCCACGCCGCCGTCGTCCTCGTCCTTGTCTTTCCTCTCTGCCCAAAGAGAGCGCCATCGACCTCCAATCATCGCAACAACCATTCTCGAGCTCTTCGACTCCAGCTGGCATCTCCACCTTCACCGCCGCATCGGCGCCAGTGACAGCGGCATCACCTTTCCCGTCCATCTCAGACCTTCACCGTACTCACATACCAGAAGTGCATTTGCTCAATGAGATCGCATGTACTCGAAGTCTTGTCCCCGCGACACAACTGCAGCTCAGCTCACACCCTTCAACTGCAGCAGCAATCGGCACTAGATGAGGCGGCTCGAAGATGCTACTCCAACGAATCCAAGCTATGCATCGAGGAATTTGTGTCGAGATGATGCAGCAGCAGGTTAACAGTGGTGATGTTGCTTGTTCTTGCCACTTCCCACAACCGTGAGTCCGCGAAAGACGTCGAGGGAACCGAGGCGTTGCTGCTTTGCCGTGACTTCGAGGCGTCGATGGCGAGTTGAGGAAGAAGACTGTTTGCTGCTGTTTGTGGTGGCTGAGAGAGAGACATGCGTTGGTGACTTGGGCTGAGGAGCTGCAGCTGGGTTTGTAATGGTGGTTGTGTAAAGGTTGACACGCATCGGAACGTTGGTTGATCTGCGTCAGAGGCAGGATCCGTGTCCAGAACGGGTTCGGGTCCGGACTTTCTTCACGAACGATGCGCCGTCGCCTTGCTGCTGCTTCGAGAGGAGTAGAGCTGGCGTCATTCTCCAGATCATCAGTGCGAAGGAAAATTCACGGGTTGAAACAGACGTAAGCCGTGGCGACTGATTCGAGCAACACAAAGCACCCTAAGAAGAAAACCAACCCCGACGGCATCAGGCACCTGCACCTGTACCTGTACTTCACGCTTATGTTGCAGCAGCTGCTGCCGCTATTACACGCACCACTTGCACAAGCTCGGCTCGAGTTTCAGTTGAAGTCCGCGACTTTTGTGAGGAGGAGAGAGAAGGATGGAGGAAGTACCGGACGACGACTTGTCGTAGTTGAAGTGAGAGTTGGATCTTTTGCTTTTGAGAAAGAAGCGTGGGGAGTGCGGCTTGGGCTGCATTTCTTGTTGGGTGTCTTGAGGAATTCCGTTTTGTCTCGGGCCTTGAAGTCCACCTGTTGGGCTTGGGCCTCTGATGCCATAGCCCGGATGCAGACGAAACGACGCCGCCGCCGTTGATCTCGACGACACCGCAAAAGCTGTGGTTCTCCATATCAACCCCATCGCCAGTGTTGCGTCTCTGAGCTTCGACAACATATGTAGCAGCAACCATTAAAGGGGTTCTTTGCACATTAACCATCTGTTTTTTTTTTTTTTTTTTTTTTTTGAGCCCTGTACCCTTCTTCACATGACTCATCCTTTTCCGGGAATCACTTCAGGTGGCTGAAAGGCACCCTGACTGAGAGCGCTTCGTTCATGCGGTTGTGGGTTTTCATCAGGAACATATCCCGGATCCAAGAGTATCCTAGCCTGACCAAAATCCACCAGCTTGAGAACTCCATCGTCCCCAAACAACAATTTACAGGGCTTCAAATCGCGGCGGACCACCAAATTCCGATGACACGAGTCAACCTCCGATAGGATTTGCAGCATCCACCGTTGGATCTCGGACACGGCTCCAGCGGTTGCTGGAATTGGGTTTTGGCGGTGGACTGTAGCGGGAAGCACTGGTTGGAGCAGTGCCTGGTGCGAATTTGTTTCAACGAGTCAATGCTCCAATGGACGACAGATCGGAGCATGGAATGGATCCGCCGCCATTTCTCAAATTACAGTCGGATCGCGCGGAGCACCCCCTCTCTATCTGCAAATGATTTCACAGGTTTTGCCGCTCGTAGCTCAACCGCTCGCAGGTGGTGTTTCACTTGTAGACGAAGACGAGTTCGCTGAGTCACTGAGTTCAGGAAAACGCAGAGAGGAGAGGACCACAAAAGGAAGGCTTCGGGGATTTTCCGCTGCATACCAATTGAATCCTTCATCATCTCCAGCTACTCTTGCCGCTGGGCTTGGACTTTAATTGATGGGCTGAGGAGAAATGGTTTGAGAGAGACTTGGGGAGCTGGATTTGTGGCTGGGCTCATCACGATTTCAAGCCCCCATTAAATGATTGCTGCACCTTTTAGATTTTCTAGCCCAAGAACTTTGATCCATCCACTTCCCTTTTTTTTTTTTTTTTACTTATTTATATATATATATATATATATATATATTTTTTTTTTTTTTAATATATGTGAAATTTTTTTTTTTTTTTTTGTAATGAAATTGACTTTCATTAATAAAAACCCTTATTTTTTTATTTTGATGTGACTGAACTCGAAATTGAATATTCAAGCTGCCTACGTACCCTTCCAAAGAAGAGATCAAGTCTTAACGTAGTTCGAATACATACATATATTTTTTTTGGTATTTTTTTTTTTTTTTTTTTTGTAATGAAATTGACTTTCATTAATAAAACCCTTATTTTTTATTTTGATGTGACTGAACTCGAAATTGAATATTCAAGCTGCCTACGTACCCTTCCAAAGAAGAGATCAAGTCTTAACGTAGTTCGAATACATACATATATTTTTTTTGGTATTTTTTTTTTTTTTTTTTTTTTTTTTTTGTGTGCCGTTTGCAGTTTCAGCTCATGCAGGCAAGGAGCGCTTAGTGCCGTTTGCAGTTTCAGCTCGTGCAGGCAAGGAGCATTTGGTTCGTGCAGTTTAGGCTCGTGCGGACAAGGAGCATTGGTGTTGCCTTTTATGCTCGTGCAGACCAGGAGCTTTGTTGTTGCCTTTTATACTCGTGCAGACTAGGAGCTTTGATGTTGCCTTTTATGCTCGTGCAGACCAGGAGCGTTGGTTCGTGCAGTTTAGGCTCGTGCGAACAAGGAGCATTGTGCCATGCCAGTTTAGGCTCATCATGCGGGCGAGGAGAATTTGTGAATTTGTTGTCAAGCAATCCGGGAGAGGCGTTCCTCACAATTTTCATAGCAAGGAGCTTTGACCGCGTGATTGAAGAAGTCTTCGGGCAAGAAGTCGCGCATCGTGATGGGGACGGACGATCTTCATGTCGAAGTTTCATCATCTTCAACATGTTCATGTTGCTTTGAAGGTTGACAAGAGCTGCTTTGCCCCCTTTCCGATTGGCGGACTTGTGGAGGAGACGTATGCTTCTTGTGCAATTTCTTAGGAGTGACTTGAGTCCATCCTTCAACTTTGCTTGTCTTGGAGGATGCCCCCAGCAGTTGAGGTGAAAACTTTGAGTCGAAAGAGCCAGAAGTGAAGGTGGTATAGTTTGACTTCTCCACATCGTCAAGATCTAGCTCGATGATTCCTTTCTGAGCCAACTTCATGATGAGATCTTTCAGCACGAAACATTTTTCTGTCGGATGACTGATGAAGCGGTGGAATTTACAGTATCTTGGACTGTCGGTACGATTCATCTCTTCCGGCCGTCTGCACTCAGGCAAACTGATCACCTTCTTGTCCAACAGGTCGTCCAGCATGGCAACCACATCAGAGTCGGGGAATGGATAAGTCTTCTTCTCAAGCTCCTTCAAAGTGCGTCTACGCATCTCTTGATCATGAAAAGCTTCGTTTTGAATCGCCTTGCCTCGTGTAGGGATTTTGACGGGAGCTGTGTTGACTGTCATTGCTTCTTTGGTGGATTTCCACGTAGCCTTCTCCACCTTTGGCCCAAGAACTTTGTCGTTCTTGTAGTCGGCGATCGGTTCTTTCTTCCCATGATGGGCGATGCTCAACTCCATGTCATGGGCGCGAGTGGCCAATTCCTCGAAAGTCCGTGGTTTAATGCCTTGAAGGATGTATTGCAAACCCCATTGCATGCCTTGGATGCACATCTCGATTGAAGAGGTTTTCGAGAGCCTGTCTTTACAGTCGAGGCTTAGAGTGCGCCATCTGTTGATGTAGTCAATGACTGGCTCATCCTTCCACTGTTTTGTGCTCGTTAGCTCTAGCATGCTCACAGTGCGGCGGGTGCTGTAGAAGCGGTTGAGGAATTCCCGCTCCAATTGCTCCCAGCTGTTGATGGACTCAGGCTCTAGGTCCGTGTACCACTCAAAGGCATTTCCTTTCAGCGAGCGCACAAACTGCTTGGCGAGGTAGTCTCTCTCTGTCCCTGCGTTGTTGCAAGTTTCGACGAAATGTGCAACGTGCTGCTTTGGGTTTCCTTTTCCATCAAACTGCATGAACTTTGGTGGTTGATAACCCCTTGGCATCCTTAGGGCATCAATCTTCTTGGAATAGGGCTTCGAGTAGAACAAGGAGGTATGTGAGCTCCCTTCGTACTGTGCCTTGATGGTGTTGGTGATCATCTCCTGCAGCTGCTGGATAGAAAGAGATCCCATGAGTGCCGCTGCTTGGTCTGGCTCCGGCGGCTTCCCATCGATTTTCTTCACCGGGGGTTCTTCGTCTCCGCCAGCTCCTCCCTTTAGTGGATCATCCTCTGGGTCGGGTTTATCGCCATCCTGCGCCTCCAGTCGGTTGACTAGTGCTGCAATTTGCAAGTCTTTTTCTTCCACAGTTCGGGTTAGCCTTGCGATTGCTTCATTCATTTGAGCCAGCTGCTCATCGATTGAAGTTGCTCCAATGGTCATGACTTGCATGGCTGAACTGTCGCTTGAATCGGCATCGAAGAGCATGGATTCGGAGTATTTCCTTGGGCTTTCCCCCCTTGGTGCCCTTAGTGAGGCTAAGGTGATCAAAGGCTCGTGCCTTGGGTGTTTTTGTTCCTTTGGCAGAGTTGATGCAGAGGCGAAAGAGGCGGCAGAAGTAGCTCTTGCCATGCTTCGAGTTGTGATGCCCAAAGTGACACCAGTTGCGACGAGGACGCTTTTGTTCTTTGCGCCGGTTGCGGGAACAGTTTGAGCCTTCCTTGATGCCATTAATTTTGGAAATGCGCTTGAATTTCTTGAACGGAGAAAGAGATGAGAGGCAGAGATTGTCCCACTGGGCGTGCCAATTTGTGAACGCGGAAAATTCCTGAAACGAAAGAGACAAGAACAACACGCACAAACAAATATTAAGTGTTTGATGATTTTGGGGTTACAATCTCTCTCTATTTTGATCCTCTGATTCGATCTCCGTAAGGTGTGTATTTGTGGATTTGTGATTGATCCAAAGGGCCGTTGGGCTTGATCTAAGGATGAACGTTCTTCAAGGGCCGTGGACTTGATCTTGAAGGTGGATTTGAGCGGATCTTCAAAGGGGCTTTTGGGCTTGATCTTTGAAGAACAGTGACGAACGGATCTCCAAGGGCTTTTGGGCTTGATCTTGAAGAACAGTGATGAACGGATCTCCAAGGGTTTTTGGGCTTGATCTTGAAGAACAGTGATGAACGGATCTTCAAGGGCTTTTGGGCTTGATCTTGAAGGTGGATTTGAGCGGATCTTCAAAGGGGCTTTTGGGCTTGATCTTTGAAGAACAGTGACGAACGGATCTCCAAGGGCTTTTGGGCTTGATCTTGAAGAACAGTGATGAACGGATCTCCAAGGGCTTTTGAGCTTGATCTTGAAGAACGGTTGGATGTGTGGATTTGTCGACGTTGTTGATCCAAAGGGCCGTTGAGGCTTGATCTTGGATGAACGGATGATGAACGATGGTGCTTTCTTCAAGGGCCGTCGGGGCTTGATCTTGAATTGGTGGATGGTTGATCCAAGGGCCGTCGGGGCTTGATCTTGGAAGAACGATGAACGAAGAACGAAGAACGAAGAACACTTTCTTCAAGGGCCGTCGGGGCTTGATCTTGAATTGGTGGATGATTGTTGATCCAAAGGGCCGTTGGGGCTTGATCTTGGAAGAACGATGAACGAAGAACACTTTCTTCAAGGGCCGTCGGGGCTTGATCTTGGAAGAACGATGAACGAAGAACGAAGAAGGCTTTCTTGATTCTTCGGGAACCTAGATGCTTGAGAGCTTCGGAGTTTCAGAGCTTCAGAGCTTCAAGATGTAATATGAATTGGTTTTCCTTAAATGAATGAAATGGGCTTGTATTTATAGAATTTTCCAATGCCTAATTTTGAATATAATATCCCAGATGAAATAAGTCGTTTCTGCCAGGTGTTGACACGTGTCCTATTTGATGACTTTTCCAACTCATTTCAATTTTCGTTGAGTCACGCGCTACGTGTAAAATTTATGTAATACATGAGCGTTGACACTTTGATTTATCGGTCAGCATTTATTTACGAAATTTCGATGTCTACATACCCATTCTCAAATATATCAATTTGTTATATGTAAAATGTACCATTTTTTAATATAAAATCCATTCAAATTTTTTAATCCATGTTTAAACTTATATGGGTACATTCTTTTTCGTTGATTTGAGAATGTATCCATGTTTTGGTACAATAACTTTTTTTGTTAATTTTGGTTAATGTACCCATACATATATGTATATATACACACACACAATATAATAGAGAGAATAATTTATATTTTATTATTTTTAATCCCATAATTATGGGTTTTATTTAAATTCTCATTAATATAAACAATTACAAATTTCAATTTTTAATTTTTAATTAAAAAAATATAGTAACTTATATTATTACATTAATATCAGGGACCTCAATCAAAAACTAAAAACTAACAAGGTTTCAATCAAAGAATATTGATAGCTAGGGACCGCATCTAAAATGTCCCTTTTAATTATTATCGTTTTTCAAGTGCCAATAATATTTGAATTCATCGTTTCGAATTCATAATAGTTGGTTAGTAGTTACTTTCTTAGAAACATCATTTTTAGAGTAATTCTAAATATAAAAACTATAATTAAATTATTATTTAAATATTAATTAATATGTTTATTTCAATGACGTATCATTTAATTTATAAATTTAACTTATGAATTTAATTTACTTAGCATTAATCTTATTTTGATTCTGGTTGAATAATAAATCCGATCATTTCTAGCATTAATCTTATTTTGATTCTGGTCGAATAACGTCTAAATTCGATCATTTCTTGTTTCGTAGTTATGTCAGTGCATGCAGGGACACTCGACCATCTTGTCACAAAGTTAGTGAAGCGGTAGGTTTGTCATTTAGTTTTACTACACGAGCCACGTTGCCACACGACATGCACAGTATCCAAACCCTGTGATTCACTAAAACATTAGCATTTTGTCATTGCACCAAATTCAATGGCCTGTAAGTGGATCACACATTTTCTCTGTCTAATTCTGGAAAAATATTAGATAGGAAGTTGGCTAGTAATTTTCATATGAGTTATACTTACGTATACGTAGTGCTATTATTATTTAATACATGAATTTAGATTATTATAGAATCTCATTACTGCGAGAGAACTCTCCAAGAGGTCGAAATTTATAGTATTTGATTGCATCTTCAAAATACAGGTTATGCTTTATAGGAGGCTTCGACAGTGTACATAATCCGACTCATCCCACCGTCCTACTGAAGTTTTTCTCGTTTATCACCCCTAAACAACACTATCCAATAAAAGTGTAGACTAAGCTTAAGAACAGCAAAAGCCACTTTGACTTGGACAAAAATATTTAAGGTAAAATGATGTCCACTCACCAGCTTCCTGAAATCCCTTTTACACTGCCACCTGTCCACCCTCCCCACCTTTTGCTTTGCCCTATCATACTTCTCCCCAGCTCTTAATTCTCTAACCTTTTTCAACCTCTCACAATTTTCTCTCTTCAACTCTTCTTTCTCTGCAAGAAACCCTAACCCTAATCAACACGAACACAAAAATATGTCAGGTGGGGTTGGTCCAACCTGCAGTGACATTAGCCTCCCTAAAGAACAAGAACATGAATTCAAGGAACACAACGACCAAACCTCCTCAAAACTCACCTCCCATCAGAAGTTCCCAACTTTACACTCCAGCGCCACCGCCTCTCCGCGGAAAGCCGGTGGCGGTATGTTCTCCTTCCGGCAGCTCAACGCCCTCGCCGTCGTCGTCGTCTTCTCCGCCAGCGGCATGGTAAGTCCCCAAGACTTTGCCTTCGTTGTCTTCTCCATGATCTACATGAACTTCATCTCCAAAGTTGCATTCCCCGCCCTCAGTTCCTCTAAAGACCCCACAGTTTTCAACCCCAAAAACAAAATCCTCCGCCTCTACGTCCTAACGGGCGCCATCATCGGCCTTCTGCTCCCCATTGCCTACATTTTCGAGGGCATTTTCGAAGGCGATAAAGAAGGCATCAGCGCCGCTTCTCCGCACGTTTTTCTCCTCGCAAGTCAGGTGTTCATGGAAGGAATGGCTTTCGGCGACCGGTTCTCAACGCCCATACGTGTTTTCGTGCCGGTTTTCTATAATTCCAGGAGGATATTCACCATTGTTGAGTGGCTGAAGAGTGAGTTTTCCAAAGAGTATGAGGAGTACGGTGGATCTGCAAGAAGATTGTACGTTGGGAGAGGACTTGCTATTGCTAATATGGGGTTTTGGTGCTTCAATTTATTTGGGTTCTTGTTGCCTTTCTATCTTCCTAGGGCTTTCAAGAAGTATTACTCTGCCCATAAACTGAAAGATTACTGATCTTCAACGTACTTATTTCTTTTTCTTTTTTTTTTTCGTTTTCGTTTATTAATGTTAAAGAAAAATAACTGAATAAAAGATCTTCATAGAATGTGAATTTTATGAATACTACTTGTGAATGAATTGAAATTGAAAAAGGCATTGGTGACGAGTAAATGTTCGCTTCTACCGTCACCAAAAGTAAGGTCTCACATTCATGATTTTATACATGAGAAACTGATTTCATGAAGTGGGTTTGTGAAACCGGTGCATGAAAGTTTCTCAGTCATCGAATTCGCTCTGTGGAACTTAAGATTAAATATGGCCTTCCAACATATTCAAATTCTTGAAAAGGCATTGGTGATGAGTAAATGTTCATACCTACCGTCAAGGAGAAAAACTTACATTTTCTTATTTCTAAAGTCTCACATTCACGAGCTTACATGTTAGAAACTGATTTCATGAAGTAGTTTTGTGAAACAGGTGCGTGAAAGTTTTTCTCTGTCATCAAATCCGCTCGGTGGAACCTAAGATTAAATATGCCCTTCCAACATATTCAAAACGACCATATTGTACAAAGCTTTATAAATAACCTTTATTTCTCATTTCGATTTCATTACATCAACTGAAAGAACTTACAACTTCTTGCAAGACTCTGTAAAGCCAAATGGGGCCTCTATATGAAATGAAGAAGAAAAGGTACATCTGTAAAATTCGGCATCGTTTCAAGAAAGTACAGGGGGCCGGCTCCCATCAATGGCGGCTCAAGGAAAAAAACAGCGGAAAGTATGCTCCTCATAAACAACCACAAAAGAGAACATAAGCTCAAGGCAATGAGGAAAACTATGCTCCCAATTGTGGGCTCTTCCTCTTCTTTTTCTTGATATCTGTTCGTTTGCTTTCTTCGACATGGAAGATGCCCACAGAACGAAAATTGCGTTTGGTGATGGAAAAAACAAACAAATGTACTCACATGCCGTCAACACCAAAAACACTGCTCTCTTCTAAGCTTCTGCAGCAGCAAACCTCGTCGGTAGCATCTGTTCCAATCACTCAAGCTGCTGCAGATTCGGATTAAATAGTGCTCTCTCGTAGATCACTATCTCCTGTCCAAACCTGCAAATCACCCGGTAACTCTCAGTCTAACCAAATCTTCACTCAATCTAGTTGCACACTCACTCACTCAATCACTCTCAATATCAGAGGATGTATTGGGACATACTTTTATATCTACGTGCAGAGCCATTGCCGTTTATATCTATTGGTGCAAGTTTCCTCTCTTGGCCCAAGGATAAAATTTCCTGCATCCTTTCTGGCCAATCTGAATTTAATCTTCGCGCAAAATCCTCCACTTCCCTACATAAAGCATAAACATAAAGGAATATAAGAAACAAACAGTCTTTGCAATAATCATAAAATATCTGTAGATTCTACCGAGTAACCATGGAAGGGGATATTTAACAGGGGCAAAGAAAAATTTCCATGTACGCCGAGACAAGGGTCAGCATAATTCATATAAACAGTTAAATATTAGTGTGGATCATTCTAATATGATTGAATAATATACTTTATAAAAACAGAAGTTTGATTCATCATCACAAACTAAATGGACATTGTTGTTACCTGTCAAGTTCTTCCTTCATGGCAGGATCTAAATCGTCATCCAAATCACCATCATCAAAGTCAAGCTTTGGTGAAAAGGTAACAGACGTAGAATCTTGCAACTTTGAAGAACTGGGAGACGGAGACTCAACATTGATAGTGTCACCATCTTGGGAAGCAGAAGAAAGCGCATCCAAATCCTAGAAATGTAGACAACAGCAAAGAGAAATCACAAACAAGTTTTGATACATGCAGGAAAATTCACAAGCATACTACACACACACACACACACACTTAAGTGCGGATAGGATGCTGTCTTGAGCAAGAGAAGGAAGTACTAACCTTGTTATGTCCATTTACATTGGTTGAAGAATCTTTTGGATGATCTTTTCTTCTTCGATTTTTCTTTTTATTCTTATTGGTCTTAATCCCTTTTGTTTCTGCAGAGTGTATCAGATTATGGTAAGTTTTGAGAGTAGATAACGATTAACTAGATAGGTCTATCAAATACAACTTTCATATGACAAGCTATAGTACAGTACAGAAAAAAAAAACTTGAATGCTTCATTAAGTACCCATGATATGTGAATCTACTGACTGAATGACCTATCAAAAAGTATGTAAACCCAAAAAATATTGTGCTCCTTGTCCATGGAGATAAGATAGGGATGCCAATACCCTTCAACAGAGTGGTCCTAGCCGCGAAGCAAACTCACTTAACTAACAAGAACACAGGAAATTTTATCTCCTATGAATTTGAGAGCCAAACATACTATAACTTCAAACAGCAAAAAAGATGCAAAAAGTCAACAAATTAATAAATAAAATCGATGTGTAAGAAAAAAGGCAGAAAACCAGGATGAAGAGAGATAATTTCTGGATCATACCTCTGTTTCCACCATTTATAAATGTCAAAAGATCATCGACTGAACGCTCATCGATACGCTCTCCCTCAGCCTCAACACTCTGAAACAAAACAATAAACTTTCTATTCATGCGATCATATATGCACAGGTCTTAATGCTTCAAGCTTCCAACTACATAATTACATTTGTTTGTACTCTGCACAACTAAAATAATAAACATTGTGAAATATAAAATTACCACATATATCGCATTTAACATATGGTAAAGGCTTCAAACTCTTCAAGTAAAAGTAAGCACCTTCAGTTTCTCTCTCTCTTTTAATTCTTTCCTCTTTCTAGCATATAACCGGTTAAGGAGCCGGATACGTGGATCATCAGTTATGTTTCTCAGAGGTTCCAACTTCTCCTCCTGGATTGAACCATATATACATGAAAAACATGGATGGAAGGGAAAAAAAACAAACCAATAAATTTTGATAGTAACAAACCTCTGTGAGGTCATCAGGTAAATGAAATGTCTCGCGTATCTCCTCGGGTGATTTTCCTTCAATAATTCGAGCAAGCGCTCGGCTGGTGAGATCAACCAAAGGCTTCAACTGGAGGCTGTCAGCAGCGGACGTCAACTCACATAACTTTTTTGTATCCATTCGAATAAATTTCTCATCAAAAGTTTTGCGCTCCTACACATGATAACAATACTATCAAACACATAAATTACTTCTGACTTCACCATGTACATGATGATGATGGATAAAAGACTATTAAAACCACCCTTTTTCGGCCACATAAAGGGTAGCAATATTTTCTCCAAGTTTTCTACAATAGATTTTCACCGTTGATTGTTAATTGGAAAAAAATATCATGTAAGAACAGAAAAAGAAACTACAAGTGTTAGAATTATATGTCAGACCTTATTAGAGCGACCGGGTACTTGATGAAACCGACAGTAGTCGAGTATTAAGCCCAAAATGGCTGGATTAACTCGTTGAGGAAGTGATATAGCATAGTTTTTGGAAGATCCCATTCCTGTTTGTAATATTTCTCGGCATATCATGGGACAAAACATGGCAACCTCTTCTTCTACTTGTTGGATTGAGCCATCAGCAGTTTGAAGCCAGATGTAAGATTTCATCTAATTGCACAAAACATAAGGAAATTCAGGAGGGAGTCAAAAGAGAAAAACAACTAGTACTCCTATATCATCTTAGCTTGAACTACCACACATGCAACCCACAGAACCAATAACTCCAGGTGAAGCAGTCCTAGCCACTATCTTCTATTTTTGCTTATTCTGACCACTATGCACCAGCCTTTTTCACCAAAGAAATTACAACTCTCCATTTACATTCCACCAAGAGTTTGTCTACAAACAAACTAATTCTTTTACTATACCTATTCATTTCCCATCATACTCAAGTGACAAAGGACCCTTAAAGATACACATGCTGCTGAAATCATACAATGTGAAAACAAACGGAATGAAACTAAATAATCTAACTTGCCTAAATTACCATTTGTAATTCATCAGACAAGAAGTAGCATACCTCGGGTTTGACTACCGCCATGACACCTTCTGACATTTGACAGTGACACTGCAACTAACCTTCAGAAGAGGTGAACCAAAAACCACCTTTCACCTCCACTTCTAAACACAAGGAGTTACAGGGTAAATGGAACCTTTTCCTTATTCAAAACCTTGACTTGATTAACTAAGTACAAAATAGTTATCAGTGCTTCCCAAAATGATACGATCTTGAATCCCAACAAAATTTGTTTGAGCATTCTTATCTGGAGAGCTTTCTCAAATATTTTTCCTGTATTCAAAGTAAAACACAATAAGATTTGGGGAACAAACAAGATGATATCCTCAAATTCCAAGATTATCAGTAACTTCAATATTTTAACTTATAAAAGTTAACAGTGGTAAATGTAATTTGTAACAAGAAAAGGGGGAAGTATATTTTTTGGGGGGGGGGGACTTCACTGGAGTATCTCAATATCTCTGTGTGCATAAATGGGAAAAAAAGAAGAGAAAAATGACAATACATGAGCAATATTGATGAGCACATAAATGGGAAAGAAAAAATAAGTTTCACACTAGCAGCACAAAGCTCAATACTCAATACCAGACGAAAGTATTAAAGATTGAATGATAAATACAATACAAAATAGCATTTAATATGCATAAACCAACATTCAGACTCAATGTAGTACTCGGTCTGCCAAAAGAAATAAAGGGGCAGAATGCAGAAAGGAGACAACTTGGAAGCCAATCTATTGAGTTCTTCAATCTCCATGAACCAATAAGAAACAAGGACGAAAGGAGACGAGTGTAATGCAACCAATTGGTTAAGCAATTCAGCGAAAAAAAAAAAAAAAAAAATTTATAAACAGTTGGGTTAGCTGAACCCAATAAGAAGTGATAAACAAACTATGTCATATGGTTGCCAGGAAACCGAAAATCCGAATTCCAGGACACATACAAACGACAATTCAGATTATAAACCATGCCAAACGGTTTCCATTTCCCACCAAGGAAAAATCTTCAACTTCCATTGTTGATGATTCCACCTCACAACTAACAAAATCCTTATCAACAGTAGTATTTCTATATAAATTAAAAATTAGGGTTTATTTATTCAAAAAAAATCAAACCATCAAAAAACAGTCAATCGATTAAATAATTATGAAATGGGAAAAATACAATTAG